GCTGTTGGGCGTGGAGGGGCCGTCGGTGGAGAGTGAGGCGTCGCGCGAGAGGCGCGAGGAGCGGCCGCGGGGGTGGTGCTTGCTGCTGGAGGAGCTGCCGGCCTCGGAGAGGGAGAGCGAGGGCGAGGACGCGGCGGCGAAGGTGGTGGCATCGTCCGCCGACAGGTCCGACACCCAGCTGCCGCTGCGCCGCTCCATGGACGGCCCTCGCCCCTCCTCCTGCCCAACCCGCACGCGTGCAAACGCCCCTCCTCCCCCGCCTCCTGCTGCCGCTGCTGCCCGTCCGTCTTCCCTCCCTTCCATCCCCCCTCCGTGCACCTGCCATTGCCCTCCTTGCTCCTCGTACTCGCCCCCATTGAACTGCCCGCCACTTGCACCAGAACTATACGCGCCTACCCCATATCCACCCTCCCCGAAGCCACCAGTCAGCGCGCCCTGCTGCTCCGCCCCCTGGGCGGCGTGCCTGGCGGGTCTGCGGCGCTCGTCGTCCACCTTGAAGACCTGCCCGCCGAACCAGTCCTCATCGCGGCCCTCCATGCCCCACTGGCGCCGGAAGCCGCGCTCGTCCTCCTCCTGGCTGCGCGCCAGCGCCTGGGTGAAGTCGGCCGTGGCGGGGGCCTGCAGGGAGATGCTGCCGATGGGCGCCTCCACGCCGCAGATGCGGCACAGCCCCAGCAGCACGTCCACCAGCGTCGCGTTCACCGCCTCGCGGTTCGCGTAGTAGAACGTCTGGAAGAGGGGGGAGGGGGGAGGGGCGGCCGCGCACAGCATGGGGGCGCGGTGGGCGTACAGAGGCTAACAAGTGCCTGCATAAGCAAACATGTGCACGTGTGCATGGAAGAGGCAGTGCGGAGCATTGCCCATGAATGACCTGCACTTGCAAGGGTTTGGGTGCCCACCTGCACTTGGAAGACCATCTCGCCGAAGTCAAGCGCAGCCCCTGGCGTGTGCAGGGAGTGCCAATGGATGGTGTTGTGCGCCATGGTGGGCAGCAGCAGCAGCCCGCGCTTGAGGTTGGCCTCCACGCGGCCGTCGCTGGTGAAGTTGAGGGCGTCCTGCAGCTGCACGCGCAGCAGGTACTGGATGTTGCGCGGCAGCATGTCGTACAGCTCGTCCCTGCGGCCCAGGGAGAGAGAGAGAGAGAGAGAGAGAGAGAGAGAGAGAGAGAGAGAGAGAGAGAGAGAGAGAGAGAGAGAGAGAGAGAGAGAGAGAGAGAGAGAGAGAGTTAGAGAGAGAGAGAGTATGAGAGCTGGTGGGAGGGGCTATAAGGTGGTGCTGAGAGCAAGGCAGGGGAGTGGGCATCCTGCCCTGTGCTTCCAATGCCTCGTCTGCTGCTGCCCATGCCAGCGCCTGCCCTACCGGTTGCTGCCAATGGCAGCACGAGGCGTACCTGGTGGGTCCGAGAAGTACCTGGTGGGTCCGAGGCGTACCTGGTGGGTCCGAGGCGTACCTGGTGGGTCCGAGGCGTACCTGGTGGGTCCAAGGCGTACCTGGTGGGTCCGAGGCGTACCTGGTGGGTCCGAGGCGTACCTGGTGGGTCCAAGGCGTACCTGGTGGGTCCAAGGCATACCTGGTGGATCCGAGGCGTACCTGGTGGGTCTAAGGCGTACCTGGTGGGGCCGAGCACGGCGTCAGGCTGCTGGATGATCCGCTCGAGTAGCACGACCACGTTGGCGTAGTGCAGCGCCAGCCCCGCCTCGCCCAGCGACGCATCACGGATGCGCGGGGGGCACATGCCGTGGCCGAACGATGCAAAGATCTTCTTGCGCACATAGCACGCCGCCACCACCAGCAACTGCACAGGCAGGTGGGGCGAGGGGGAGAGAGGGGGGCACGAGAGAGCCACAGCACACATGCACGTGTGACCCACTTGACCTTGCATCACCGACTCTCACAGCCGCCTCTTGCATCCATGAAAGGGAGTCTTTAAGATAGCAGGCCCACTGAACGCGCTTCCGGTCGCATCAGAACCCGCTTGAGCAGGTTCAGAGACAGGTGAGAGCCCAGCAGAGCGCACCTGAGCAGGTTCAGAGACGGGAGAGAGCGCACGCACCTGCACGAGGTAGTCGAGGTGGTAGGCCCAGAGGCAGTGGCCCTGCAGCTTCTCCACCAGCTTCCCCTGCGTCACCATTTCCTGCAGCGAGTTCCACTCGCCGTACTCCTGGATGCTGCCCCGCGCACGCGCAGGGGTACAGCAGCGCGGGTGGAGGGAGGAGGGCAGCGCAGGGGAAGAGGCCGCACACCATGGAGCCTTGGTTAAGCGCGGCCGGGGTGAAAGGGTGGAACAGGGCGGAAAGAGCGGCTCAAATAGTGCAACGAGTGGAACAGCGGCCCTACCGGGAGTGCAGCAGCTGAATGGCCTACCGGGAGTGCAGCAGCTGAATGGCTTCCATCTCTGCCTTGAGTGTGTTGGTCGCCTCTGCTTGCTCTCGCATGAACCTGCTCTCAAGCACACGGCCACAGTCGCACATGCGCACATCACCACACGCACAGAGACACGCATGCCACATGAGCGCAAGCAGAGCACGAGGGCGGCAGCATGCATTGACGCTCACGACCGCCTTGTCGCCTATGCTCTCATTCCCACACCCATCCCAGCCCCCCCCATTTCAGCTCCGCCCATCCCAGCTCCACCCATCTCAGCTCCGTCGATCCCTGACCGCCCCACCTGAGCAGCACGCCCCCCCCACCCCCCCCCCCCCCCCCCGCTGACCTGAGCAGCACCTCCCCCAACCCCCGCCCGCGCTGACCTGAGCAGCACCTCTCCCCCCCCCGCGCGCTGACCTGAGCAGCACCTCTCCCCCCCCGCGCGCTGACCTGAGCAGCACCTCTCCCCCCCCGCGCGCTGACCTGAGCAGCACCTCTCCCCCCCTGCGCGCTGACCTGAGCAGCACCTCGCCCTCGGCGGAGGACACGGCGAAGTCCTTGTAGTTGGCGTCCGGCGAGTCCAGGTGCGCCAGCACGCGCTCCAGCCGCCGCAGCCGCGCGTCCGCGCACTTGCGCCCCAGCACGGCCACGCGCGCCGCCACCACGCGCAGCTCCTGGTGCTTCTCGTAGCCTGGGGAAGGCGACGGCGGGAAGGCCGCGCGGAAGAAGATGGCGCGGGAAGACGTCGCGGGAAACGGAAGAAGCGCGCAAAGCATAGCAAAAAGAGGGAAAAGGGGGAGGAGGAGGAGGGGGGAAGGAGGAAGACGAGCAGAAAAGGTGAGTAAAGCAGGAGGCGGGATGGACAGGAGGAGGACAGGCGACGGGAAAGGCGTGAGGCAGAGAGACAGGAGCGCGGGCACAAGGAAGGAGAAGCGAGGGCAGGCAAGGCGCGGGATGGGGCAGATTGACAAGGGCAAATTGGCAAAAGGTACGGCCGGCCAGGCGATCGGATACTAGAGCGAGGCGGCGATAGGGTACTAGAGGCGAGCGGGAGATAGGCTACTAGAGCGAGCCGGCGATAGGCGAGCGAGGCGGCGATAGGGTACTAGAGGCGAGCGGGAGATAGGGTACTAGAGCGAGCCGGCGATAGGCGAGCGAGGCGGCGATAGGGTACTAGAGGCGAGCGGGCGTGTGAAGAGTAGCAGAGGGGAATTGAGAATGGCAGATGGCTGGAGGCATTTCTCCCCCCGCTCTCCGTTCTTCGAATCTCCAAGCGCATTGTGGCGCCTAACCGCCTGCAACGTCACCAGCCACGCCCTTATGTCCGCGACGACCTTGCGCCCGCGACTAGCGACGCTCTGTTACATGCGCGCGACGGCGTGCGACGGGCTCTCACCTGCGAGGCCCCAGAGCACGCGAAGGTCGTTGGAGATGAGCGTCACCACCCCCGGCGCCTGCACGCGCCACACACCACACGCCACACGCGGGGGGGGGGAGAGGACGGGGGGAGACAGGGCGTAGGAGCGAACGGTTGAGGTGTGAGTTTTGGGTGGACTCGATTGCCCCAAGGGCTGGGAGGAACGCCGTGGCTCCGCAAGCCAAGAGCACGCGCCATACGGCTGACAAGTCGCCAGCAACGAGAGAGGGCGATAATACGACCGGAACTAGCCCATCCCAGGCATGCCCATCCCGAAAAATTGGGTCAATAAAAAAGCACAGACAAGCGCAAGCGTGTATTGAGGCGCCTCGGAACTTAGCGCGTCACGGGGTCGCGGAAACGCGCGAACCAGCACAGGCGGCACAGGCGATGGGAGGAACCGAGGAGCGACGGTCAGCGGCGCATGTGGGGCAGTCGGCAGAATGGGAAACCAACGGCAGGGAGAGAGGCACGGGGAGCAGAGAAAAGGGAAACAGGTGGATGGCCGACGGGAGCAGCGGTGCGGCACCTGCAGGTTGGAACGCAACGAGGAGAGCATTTTCTCGGCCATGGAGTCGTAGATCTCGAGCATGCGGCGCATGATGCTGCCGATTTCGAACGCCAGCATCTCCGTCGGAATCTCCTTCGTCTTCCCCGCCGGCGCGCCTGACCCCTCGCCGTAGAACGCGCGCTTCACGATCTTCTTCAGCGTCGCCTCACCAATCGCCGCAATTGACGGTGAACCCAGGCGCAGCGGTGAATCTGGCCGCAGGTCCTGCGCCGCCGCCACCGCCGCATGTTGCGGGATTGGCGTTCCCGCGTAGGGAGCGCCATTGTGGGATCTCTCGGAGCTGTGGCTGCGATTAATGCCGTCCGATGCATCCCCTCTCGTTTTTTTCTTACCACCATGGTTCTGAAACACCTTGTTGATGGTTTTATACATCGCCTCTGATTCTTAAAAAAAAGTGTAATGCGAGCTACCTACTTAATCGGCTCTATAATCGTCTCGCCTCCCCTTGCCGGGATGCGGAGGACAACAACCCTAAGAGGAGAGGAGAGTAAACGAAGCTTAACTTTGAGGACATGGTTGTTGCGGTCACTAAGGCCAGATCATGTGGAACCCTAAATTGTAACCTTGCGGGTCGGCGCACTAGAGCATAGGTGGGAGAAGTGGGACGGGGGGGGATGAGAGATGCTGCCAACCTCCTGTTGTCCTGCAGTATCAGTGGCCGCTGCCTGCATCTACTTCGTGCTTGCTGCTACGATGGATGCAGGGAGGGAGCAAGCGGAGAAAGCGGTTTTTGCAAGTTGTGCAGTTCGTCGTTTCCGTCAACGAAACCAGCAGTGGTCGTGTGGCAGGGAAAGGTCAGGCGCTCCCAAACCCACTTTGGGTTCTCCTTGGTCGAGGCGAGGACCATGCTTGTTTGTATTTGCTCCCCTTGCGCTGGACCACGGGAAGTTTCAATCAGGAGAAAGCGGGTAGGGGCAAGCGGTGGCTCGCAGGCTCCAGAATTTCTAGGCGCTTACCCTGGGGGGGAAATGACGTGTTGGGAAATGCACCACGAGAGTTGGGAAATGCCCCGCGAGAGTTGGTAGATTAGCAGAGGTAGAAATGCTGAAGGCATGATCGGATCAGGCGCGATTCACATTCGCTGCGCCTGTGGAGGGGCAGAGAGCGGAGTCAACCAACAGCAACGCCGAACACCTCCAATCTAGCGGCCCCAACGACAGCTGGCACATCCATTATCGTCAGACCCGGAAATAACAAAGGTGTTTGCTGATTTTGGTTTCCGTCAGATTCAGGGCGTATTCTGGAACAAGGATCAGACCCTCCTTTGCGACAGTTCGCTACTGTGTGGTGGCTGCACCGTCATGCATCTAAAACCCGCAGTAAGGGCGTGGTGCATACGATCATGAATAGACCGCCATTCGAAAGGTCAGAACGGTCTATAAATTTAGAGAGCTATATACTCGCGTCATACAGTCAGGTTGAGTCACATGATTAGAAAGTCGTGATCGTATGTACCCGCCCTAAGGTTCTGAAAACCCGCGGCTCCTTCGACCGCTGCTCCGACACTCGTTCCAGAATGAGCCCTGAGCAACTTCCCCGCTTGATTCACAAGATAGCGACAGTGGGCTGGATGTTTCATTTTCAACAGAACAAACGGGTCCTTCAGCACAGCTGCAGCCGCAATTCTGGAAAAGGCTGCTCTGAGGGCGCGTTCTGGGCTCGGGGCAAGCCCCAAGGCAAATTTCCGGGAGAAAATAGCGCGCTTCGATTTACACCTGATGTCCTCAAACGCTCTGCTCGGGTCAGTCCCAATTGGGTCCCCCCTAATGGATCTTACCGTCCAAATACATCCAGCGCGATTCGTAAACAGTGTTTTCCAATGTCGGGTGTAAGGTGTAGAGCTTTGTCGAGGGCAGTACTTTCGTCGTGATGCATTAAATGCGTGCATGCGCGTAAATTGTAGTGGGCGGAGGAAAATGTTTGTACAACAGACACGGATTTCATTTCCACATTTCATCAAATCAACACAAAAATGGGTACAGTTGAGGGGGGGTCAACCGTTTTGGGTAACGGTGGCATGCCATACATTGTGCGCAAAAAGGGTCGACCGTTTTGATACCACCTCGATTTCCGTCAAAGCGCGCGGATTTCCTCAACTTCCGGGCATCCGCTATACGGGGGAGATCGCCCGAGCCCCAACTTTGATTATTCGTGTCCGTTGATGTCTCAAGGTTCTGCCTCGGGGCTTGCCCCGAGCCCAGAACGTACCCTGGGGGAAAAACATGGTGGGTACACTCAGGTGTCTGGTCTGTCCCCCCCCACCTCCCCCCCCCCCCCCCCCCCCCTCACGTAACAGGTTCGGGGCCGAGTAGATCGGCGGGGGCTGGTTTGGTGCGAGAACCGAGGGCCGAGGTTGCGGGCGCGAAGAGTTCGCGTGTACTCGCTGTGGCGAGCTCCAATAAGGAATCGTAATTCATTACCGTTTAGGTTGCTGTTTCCTACAAACAGAAACACGTACTGTAATTCTGTGCCCCATGACGAGTGGTCTACGTTGCGCTACGTGACGTGTGCCCCGAAACCAATTTGACCCCGTCGCCCTCGGGACTATTGAGTCCTTGACTGGTTCAACCCTCGAGGTTCAAACCTGGTCAGCTAGTACTATATAAGCCCTGGGTCCTCATTTGAGTAGACATTCTGTAGTCGCATTCCCCTTGTTGGGTATTGCGTTGTTCTCGGAGTTATAATTTATAACAGCATTAGGAACTTTATTTTGAAGAAATGAAGGTGTTTATCCAAACTCTTCTGCATCATTTCATCTTGCACCCTACAAAACTGAGGGGGGGAGGGGGTCGCTGAATACCTTGGAACTTAGTTTTGCAAAACATTGTCGGGAATTTGGGTTTCGCCCCCTCAGAGTTGGGCGCAACAATTCAAAAGCTAGGTAAAATGTACGATTGAAAATTCGCGTAAAATTTTTGACTGCAAAAGTTGGATTTTTAGCCACCAATCATTCCCCCAAAGTCAAGAGTTTTGAAATGCAGCCACTTCTTTCAACCTTGTGCTACTGCACCACTTAGGCTTGGTTTATACTGTGTTAGCCCGGATAGAAGACCCATATGTCTTATCATATACCGTTGAGAAATTATACAAAGTGCCTAAGATCCAGGGGCAAAAATAGGGTTACCACAAGATGGACGCCCAATAGAATACCCAATGTCTTCTATTACTAGGGGGTCTTCTATGCGGGCTAATACGGTAGGTGGGGTTTCCATGATTAATTCGTTGGCGGCGAAATCCCGCAATTTGGGTGAACGGCTATCAAGCCGTTAACCCAAAATGTAAGACATGTGGTTCAAGTTTATTACACCAAGTATTCATTAAAGGTGGCGGTCTTGTTTCGGGTGGCAACGATCTGCTTGGTGACCGCAACACTATCTATTCATTTGCATGAGAAACCCACGTTCGACATGGCTCGCTCTTCGTGCGACATTACAAATCTGAACCACCCTTGGGGTGATTGTAACAAAAAGCGGACTCTAATACCGTAATCCCCTATATATAATACCCCATAGTGGATGTAATAATTCATTAAAAAAATGGCTGGGTGTTAACCGTGGCCTGGAAAAATATAACGCCCATGCGTTATGTATAATTCATTTTGAATCTGATTGTTTCTAGGCTATTACATGCATTGGGTTTCTGTTAGGGAGTTTTGCGCTGTTTGGATGAGAGGATGGCCATGCCAACGTGTCGAACTCGGCATGGGCTGTAGGATTTGTGGCCAATCCATGACAGCCGCAGCTGCCAACAGTCAGCAGATTGCTGCCATCGGCTGCCAGCGCTGCGAGTGCACGGTTAGGTGCGCTAGATGCTGCCAGCGCCACACTTGTGACGGAATTTGGCATCTCAGGATGGACCAGACCATCGCATGCTAGCATGCGATGGTGTATTTGGGCTGTCAAGAACCGTGCGCGGCTCGGGAAGGGGGTCGGCTCACGTTTCTTGTTCATCTGTTTCTTGTCGCTGCGTCATTTTAGCGTTCCAGCATTGTTTTCCCAGCAGAAAACCCCTCGATGCCCAAGCTCTCTAACAGAGCCTCGAGCACTAGTCCACCAAGGCGATTTTGTAGGCAAAGATTCAGCCATGGCGGCCCATGCTATTAGCGGCCTCTTAGTTTTGTGAACCCATCGTCCTCCCCACGGTAGTCAGTTTCTTCTCCGTCCGTTTTCGTTGATTCCTCCAGCACCACCTGCGCCGCCAACACCGCCTGCGCCTCCCGCGCCTCCTGCACCTCCTGCCCCACCTACTCCTCCCGCACCTCCCTATCCATCATCCCTGATTGCTAGTCGTCCCGAGGAGTGGGACAACGACTGGCAAGACAATGATGAGCTACACTGGGAAGATGCTGCCGACGGCGAGCCAGAGCCATCCCCGACACTTCCTCGTATCGTTGTTCCATCTTTCCCTCGGCCCATTCATCGCCCCCACATGCCGCGAGTTAACCGGAATGCTGCACCTCCCTCCCCCTGAAATCGCAGAACCAGGCGCAAGAGAGTGCCGTGCACAGCGACGGAAAAGCTATACTGGTTGGCCCATCTCGACTCCGACTCGAAGCTTTTGAATCGCAAGCTGACAAAGATGGTCGAAGTACAAACATGTCAGATACGCGACTGGAAGAAGAACAAGGCTTGGCTGTTGGCGGCGGCGGGATGCAGGCGTCGTCTCATCACTGCTGGACGCAAGGCAAAGTTCACCGACATAGAGAAGAAGATGTACAACCGCTTCCTCTCACATCGTGTGCGCGGCTTGGCAGTGTCGGTCAGTTGTCTCTAGAAGTCGAGTAGGAAGTTCATGCAGAAGCGCCATCCCGATGTCGACTGGCGTGCGTCATCCCGTAGGACCTTCCGATTCCGCACGCGTTGGGGATTGACACGGCGCATCAAGACAAAGATGGGCCAGCGCCTAACCAGGGGTGCGTTATGCTTTTGATATGTAAGCTCTGGAGCAATTTCGCTTGCCGTTTCCCATTCATTGAGCTCTTTGAACTGAATCATGTACACTCACATCGTATGTTGTCTCCTCGTTTTGCAGATTGCGAGGCTAAAGTCGAGAAGCTCTGGGAGTTCGTGCGCCAGATGCGCACAGTCAACAAGTATGCCGACGACTTGATCATCAACGCCGATCAGACGCCCTTGTTCGTGGAAATGCCTCAAGAGACTACACTAGAAGTCCGCGGTTCAAGGACGGTGCATGTTCGTGCTGCAGGTTACGAAAAGGAGCTGTTGACCGTCATGCTGGCGGTCACTGCTAGCGGGCAGAAGCTCAAGCCCTATGTAATCTTCAAGCGCAAGACGCTCCCGAAGATTCGAGTCCCGCCAGGTCTGTAACGACTGGGTTTTGGTGTGTCTAAGTTTACATGTACCGTACTTAGAAGCTAACACTACGCAGTCTGTTTATCTCATTTTCGCATGTAAGAATCGTCATCCGCGCATAGGAAAAGGGATGGATGGATGAGGACTACGTGAAGGACTGGATTACGACGGTCGTCGTCCCCTTTCTGAAGCGACTTCCTGCGCGCCGTGGTGGGCGGCAGAAGGCACTCGTCGTCCTCGACTCCTACAAAGGCCATCTGACCAAGGGGGTGGCGGCGTTGATGCGTCTCTTCAAACTCTCGCGGGCCGTGATACCTGGCGTAGCTGGCATAC